GTTCACGTTACCATACCTTATTAGCACAGATAGATAAAGTTGTCAGGCCAAATTCCAGTATAGTACAGGTAGTCACAGTATCAGTGGTAATAGTAAAAGTTTAAGATGGAAAATACTTTTCGAAAAGAAGATACAAATTCGTGGAGCAAAAAAAACAAAGAGAGGGTGTAAGGAATTAAAAACCTCAAAATTCGAGGGAAGACAAATAATGGTTGCGCGTGCGCAACTGCAAACGATTACGGGCCATGTCGTTCAAAATCGCTAACCATTGGTCACGATAATTACTCGGACCTCAACCGGGTAGTCTATGCCTACTAACATGGCTAAGTCCAATTGTCAGTGACTGGTGCCATGTCTTGGTTTGGCCGCCCTTAGCTTTCGTCCAGCCTACTCGTGTATCAGAAAAATCATCACTTGTCAAGATAGGTGGTGGTTGAGTATACGTAACACATATCCAAACCACCTCAGCTGATGAATACCTACTACCTCATCAATCGACTTCCCATCCTTGTACCTAGTACTCTATTCCCAACTCAGACATTACTCGCTCTGTAGTTCCAAAATACACGAGCAATGCTTTGTAGACAACTACGATCGAATATCAGTAACCGACGAATATCCGCTATTCTTAATGGTCATGTTTCACATCCAGAAAGTAGGACGGAGTGAACTGCTGCTCAGTAAAGTCGCCCTTTGGTTGGAAGATAGATATTTCACCTGCACCATAAGTGACGCAAGTTGGCAAAAGCCAATCGAACCTTCAGAATCCATGTCGAGACTTCGTCAGATATCAGACCATCAGTACTGATGAGACGATGCGTTTAGCTACTTCACTATCTATCATTAATTCAGGTGATGACGCAAGCCAATTGTGAAGTAACATTTTCCATCTGGAGGAAGATAACCGCACCCCAAACATAGTTGGATTGTTGCTTAAGGTGGTCACAAGTCTACATTTTGTCAGCATTTCATCAACAGAACTATATCATCTGTGTATTCTGAGTCAACATGTTAATCTCCTGGTAGAAGATCAATTCCTGAAAGTGTTATCTGTAAAGGCATGTTTATGGCCAAGTTAAATAAAAGTGGAGAGAGCGGATAACCCTAATAAACACCACTTGAAGTGCCCAGTTCCGGTGATCATTCGCTGTGCACTCTGACTCGACCAGTAGTGCTCGATTAGAGGTCATTTATAAGGTTAATGAACTTATTTGGTATGCCTTTCAATGACAGACTGCCACAGAACCTCACGACCAATGGAGTCGAACACCACCATAATGTCAAGGAATACAACCATAGAGGGACGTCGAAAAGTATATCTATCTTCCAGAATCTGCCGAAGGGTGTATATTTGATCTATACATTCACATTGAGGTCTGAAACTAGCCTGGTTTTCTTGAGTTCGCGCTTCACGAGCTCTGGTTAGACGTTGAAGTATTGGTGAGGCTAATATTTTAGTCACTATATTAGTTGGACATATTGCTCTGTGATTGTCGTAAAAGGGTTTGTTCTGTTTTATAAACTGGGATGATCAGCGATCGAGACCAGTCAGATGGGTTACGTCCAGTCTAGAGATTTTAACTAAGATTTCAGTTAATCTGACTGCTAAAACTGGGCTACCATCCTCAAAAATCTCAGAGACTAGCCCATCAGGGCGTGCTACTCTCCCTCACATAAGTTTACTTATAGCCTTTACAATCTCACTAAGAGTTGGAGGACGTGCATCACTTGGCCATCCATGTAGCTTGGAGATAATAAGCAACTGAACTATGGCTGAAGGCTCACGATTATTACGTAGGTTTTTTATTAGCCTACGCTCGAATTGCCTCCACTCCTCGTCGTGTTCAGCAGCCAGGAGAGATGAGTTTTCGAGCGCCTATCAGTTTTTTAGACGCCGCTGAAATTCGCTGATTTTTTCTTAGCCTTTTGGTCCAAGTTAGTAGCTGTTATCACTGCTATTTCCAAAAGTTTTTGGATATCGTATCTAGCTATCATAGGATACGTATCACTTTTACGGGTAACTCTTCTAGTTGTTCCTGAAATATATTTCCAACTTTTTCATCAAGTTGATCCCTAAGAGGTTTCGTTGCTGTGGTTTTTCTATGGCCTGTAAGACGCAAACAATTATGTGCTCGAACTAGAGCATTGTCAGAGTCTACACACGTGATCCTTAGTGAGACAGTCTTCTAGCGAGCCCGTCTAATTATGGCTAAACGCAATGTTATCTATTTGAGTCCATCGATCAATCGATGGTCGCTACGTCAGACGATGTTTCTTCCTATGTTTAAAGTTGGTGTTTACCAAAAATAGACGATTATTTGAGCATTGTTGTAACAGACGGTCACCATTATCTGTTCGCTGAACATCAACACTGTAGTAACGGCCCAAATGCCTTTCAGTTTGATTTAGTTTACCTATTCGAACACCGAAATTACACGCCACTATCACTACATCAGCGAGTTTAGCTTTTTGAAGGAGGTTGGATAGTTTCCCATAAAATTTATCTTTAACTTCAATTGAGCTGCAGTGGGAACGTAGGCAGAAACAACGATAAGGAAACGGTGCGTCCCTATAATTTTGAGTTTTCACAGTCCTGTTTATTAGGATAAAGCACAAGCGACTGTCTGTTGGGAATTAGTCTAGCATACTCTGCCCAGCTCTCGAACTCATACCCACGCCAGCGCGGACGCAGGTAGTAGTAGTGTAGTATCCAGATACTCGAAGGAGAGTTTTCAAAATTGTAGTGAAAAAGTGCGATCGGTAGAGTTTGACCATCTGGAAAGAGAAATAAAACAACTACTCATTACTAGTATTGAGTGATTATCTCTATTTATCATGAATTGACTGGTGTTGGGAATGTGAACGTACGGATTCTGACATCGATAGGTCTGGGTAAGATGAGCTCATCATACATGGTTGTTTAGGATTCAATTGTATTTTTAGTGTAAAAGCGCCCATTACTGATAAGTCCAACAAAAAAATCTGGGATGAAATAGCTGTTTAATGCTTTTTGGGTTTCACTGCTTACCAGTGCTGATTTTAATTGGATCAAAATGAATTCCAAGAGTTTACATGTTCGTTTATTTGTTTATCAGATATGAGGTAGAAATTTTTAAGATTTTTTATGTAAAGTATGGTTATTTTTCATGTACAAACTAAATTGCTTATTTATTTACAGTATATATACAGTAGGTAACAAAATAATGAGTTAAACACTATTTATAAACCTGTTGTTGATCTAAATACAGTGATTACTACTAGAAACTATTATTTCGAAGTATTTTCACATTTAAACTCATTCGCATACATTATACATTACACCAAGTTACAGCAAAATAAACAAACGAGAAAAAAAAAGCAAAACCGTATTTCTGCTTTAATAAACGTTCTGTAACCGACAAATAAGTTCATTTGAATGAATTATTATTTACAAAAATAGAAATTCCATTACATGTTGCAATAATTTTTACATTTGTGCATATTCCATGAGTAAACGACGACCTAATAAATGCGTAGCTACGCCCAATGTCTCCAATGCAATCTAAATAAAGGAACAAACAGATGATATCGTATCATAATATAATCTATTCGATTGATAATATGTTCCACATGAACAAATAAGTTAATCATTGAGGAATACTTTACTTTTACTGTGCACTTACTACAAGACCTAATGGACAACATGAGGCTGACCATTCGCTTGGTCGTATCAAGGAGTTTCATGATAGGACGAAACAGCTGCTACCTGGTTGCTAAGAATCTTCTTGTTGAAGTTAGTTCTGTTATAAATTCAACTTTAATATGGGTATTGAATAAGATTAATAAATGAATGTGTTCACTAGTGATAAGTCCGCTTTACGCTGACTATACTGGTGACCCTAGCTTTATTAACATGGTAATTAAGTATGTTGGCACTGATAAACACAAACAATTCTCTACCCCCCCCCAGCGTATTCAATCAAGACACGACCAAACTGATTTACTCACTGTATGTTATTAAGACTCAAAAGAAACTCCAATTATACCATACACCAATTACAAGACAAGGCACTACAAATAAGTAGTAGCAATTTATACGTGACTAGGTCATTCGTGATACAAGCTGAGTAAGAGGAATAATTTATCAGCTCTTTGTGAGTGGCAAAACACATTGACACTACCCCCTGATACCCTGGTACGACCCAGAGTGGGAGAGTCAGCTCTCCCTCTCGAAATGCTCTCACATGGTAACGTGTATACAACCACTGTCAGAGTAGTCTTACTCACTAGCTTCTCGTGGTCAAGGTGTTGTTTATGAAAGGGAGAGGACGAAAAGCGAATGTTCAGTACTTTAACCAGGTTAGTTGATATGGAGGATCCACCTAGGACAATTGGAAAACCCTGATTCTAAACCAGTGGTGAACATGGGCTCCAGGATCCTAAGGAAACAGATGGCGTATGAACATACTGTTGGTCACCGACTACCATGGGACTGCATCTCCTAACGTTGCTTCACTGCCTTGCGGATAAGACCTCTAAGTCAAAGGTTCAGGGCGTGATCCTATAATTTTATTTTTTTATTTCAACACATGAATATTGGTACAAAAGGGTACCAAATATATATGCGCCACACTATATTTGTGTGTGTGAGCTGTGATACTGCCCGGGTGCCCAGACCGAAACAAGTGGTTTTCTTAGGGGGCCACACCCCGAGCCTTTGACCTAATGGTCTAACCCACAAGGTAGTGGAGCATCGTGAGGAGATGCAGTCCCATGGTAGCCGGTGACCAACGATTGGTTCATATGCCATTTGTTCCCGCAGGATACTGGAGCCCATGTGCACCATTGGTTTGGAATCCGGTTAAAGCGCCGGACATTCGCTTTTCGTCCTATCAATTTCGTAAACAACATCCCCGCCACGAGAAGGCAATGAGTAAGACTTCCCTGGCAGAGGCTGCATACGCATGGCCGTGTGAGAGCATTTCGAGAGGGAGAGCAGGCCCACCCCACTCTCAGCCATACCAGGGCATTTGGGGGCGTAGTCTTATAAGGAAATTACTTGCTTCCATTTGGGTGCCAGGGAAGTATTCCAGGCCTGACACAAATCGAATGACGAAATGTGGCGCATATATATTAGGTGCCTCCTTGTACCAATGTTTGTGTTTACATAAATAAATAACAACCAGTTAACTGAGAGCCTACAATTAGGGCAACATAAAAATATCATAAACCAAATATTTATCAAACATGCAATCGACATACATACAATAATGCATCATAGAATAACCTTTGTAGTTCTATTTTCCACTTATACGCTCGTATTTAACAATTCCATGATGGTAATATCAGTTCTGAGGAAGACAGAGCCCTGACTATTGCAGATCTGATTAGACTTGAACCAAAGTGCACTGATCAGTGCTACTAGGCGAATCGAGAAAATGCTAGATTTTTGTTTCAATTGTATATAAAATCTACCCTTTTACTATAGCATTTTTGTTGTTTGTAATTATTGGAGCAAGCATTGTTCGCTCTCAGTTCTTGTTCTGAATGGGAACGAATCCAGTAAAGTATGACGATTAAGGAATACTACGTACTAGAAGAAAATCATAGTTGGAGTAAAATTTGGAACCAAGGTATTCTAAACAACTCCCACACATTAGTTTGAGATACATGCATAGCGTTGCTACTACTTCTCTTAGGTTTTATTTAACTAACATTAAACTGGTTGAAGTTAGACATAGAAACTAATGGATCCCGGCTCAGTAGTCTAGATGTTAAGGGTTTCCGTGAGAGATTGAAGGTTCTAGGTTCGATTCCCAATGGGATGGGTGGATGCGCGCTGTTAAGTAGTTATATCCTAGGACGAAACAACTGTCCACTGCTTCTTTGTTTCCAATGTATATTGAACTAAGATTAATTCATGATATCCAGAGAATTTAACAACCACCACTTCCGATCTACTAACTTTTGCTTTGTCCATTGTGTCGAATTCAACGAATGCAAATCCACGATGTCCGCTAGTTGGTTTTTTTGGTAATCGAACATTGACAAGACCACCAATAGGTTGAAATAACTCAATCAATTCTTTTTGTGTAGCTTGAAATGGAATATTACGTACAATTAAAATTTTGTTCTTTTTCAACTGTTTTGATGGTATTGATTTTTTTATATTAATTTCCTCTTTTTGTTGTTCGTTAATATTAGTAGTAGTATCACATTTATTTATCCTATTTTCATTATTTGAGTGTAGTTGATTGACACATTCAACGTTAACATCGTTAGTGAATTTTACTTTTTTACTTTTATGTTCCATAAATTTGTCGATTAGTTCCAATTCACTTGATTTATTGTTAGCTATTTGTTCAATCTTTTGTTTTTTATTTAAATGTTTTTTAACTCGTTGAGATTTTGATATTTGATATGAAATGTTTTCATTGTCATGATGAGATGAGTGATCCATAACTGCTACTGTATCTTCATCATCATGATCATCTCTGAACTTGCGTTTACCAGTTGGAACGGATGTGATCAGTTCAAATTCATCGTCAGATTGCCTAGGATGAGGAAATGAAGTGGAAAACTTAATCAACATTATGATGTCGATTGGTAAAAATAAATAAATGATAACAGTGTAGTTTAAATCATAAACTGACCGTAGCTAAACAACTACTGAGAAACAGAAAACACTGGACAGGTGTTTCGTCGTAGTATGGAACTCCTCACCACAGTGCATTAGCGACCTCTAGTAAGATGCCTTGACTATAAGAGTCCACCCGTTTCCAAAGTGAAGCAATTACTATGTAACAGTGTTGGAAAATAGATACGCAATACAACGAATCAACTGAGGTCGAAAACGTAAGTCACTGGATGAAAACTTTGTAGGCGCTCGCTGCGAGACCTAAAGGTGTTGAGTTCGACCTTCGGTGGGTGGCAATTGTGTACTGTTGAGGCCCATACTAGGACAAAAAGATAACCAGTACTTTTTATTTTTCGACAGTTTCCTAATGTCACTTCGTGATATAACCTGTAAAATCCAATCATTTCCAAAAACCCCGTACATAATTGATACGAATTTAACTGACTTATTTTCAATACGAAGCTTTGTGCACACGGATTTGGGACAAGCTTCAGTTTTACGAGGGTTAGTACTACTACTACTACTACTGTCAGACTTAATTAGGTGACGACAGGACTGAACCTGCAATTTGATATTTGGCAGTATAACACATTGACCGATTCTTGAAAAAAAATTGAGTTCAGAAATTCATTTATATATCTTATATATGCACCAAATCAATCAACAAAAAACAACTCACTCAATTTTTTCAACCTTATCAACAGATGACTTCTCGTGTTTCGTCCTTTTCGGTTTATGTGTGGAAGCTTCTTCGGATTTTATTTCCTCATATTCATTATCATCAGGAGTGGATGATTTCAGAGCCCCATCTGGTAACCACTGTAGAAACAGAACACTGTCTCTAAACTAAAAAGGGGAATATAAAGTGAAATTTACGTGGAATTATCTAAAAGTTCTACAACTTCTGTCAGAAAACTGAAAATGATCTAACTGATTATATGGACTTAAATATATTACTTCCAAATGATGAGTGATCATTACGTTTACTTCTAATTCTTCAGTAGTCGGTATGACTGGACTTTGTGAAAAAAGTTACCTACGGAATAAAGTCAATAAAACTGTCACTTACGAAGGGGTTTTGTAAATGTTATGAACTATCCAGTATTAAATCAATATTTTTCTGCTTCGATATTCAGATCAAGACCTTTATCAAAAATTCTACTATATAAAAGAAAAGCGGTTTAGTAATCGACTTCCAATCAATAATTTGTCTCACGTTCGAATTCGAATTCCACCTAATTTGCTTTGGATTGCTGAGTAGCATTGCTAATCATTACATAAACAGTGTGGTTCACGTCTGAGTATACTAGCAGACTAGGTAAATCTAGGTATATTATGTACCTGATCTTATATGACATCTCAGGACCAAACAGTGGTCGGGAAATTATAAATGAGATACACTATGATAGGAAATTGATTAAACTCCCATTCAAGATCTTGGCTTGTGTTACTTTCTTGGTAAGAACAAATGTATATAAATCAATGATTTGTGTACCCACTCATTCGGTTTTGTCAGTTATAAACTAATAGCAATTCTTCAGTCTTCTCACTTTTGTCGCTGGGTGGACAAGCGTGAAGAAAGAGTTTGTATCTGAATCAGACTTGACACATCATAACATACCTAAAACTTCAATTGATAAGCGCGTTACTTGTATAAACAGGGGGATTGATCAACCTGGGTTATTCTAACTAATAACTTTCTCACTTTACACAAATTCTGATCAGCCACCAAAGTATTTAAAAAACTCAGCTACATTAGTTAGTGCAAAAAGATTCAGGTAGTAACTGTCAGGTATTGTGGTGAAAAGTTTAGTAGTCCAGAAAGTTTGCAATTAAATGGTTAATGTAATAACGCGCAGCGTCTGAGATCGATACTGATACACAAACTTACTACACGCAAGCCACCAACCACCTGTCAATCGAGTGAAAAAACTAAGAGTGGAGAAGGAAGTTTATGAGCTGAACCGATTTACATGCATAACCACTGATATAAATATAAACTCCCTCTGTAGCCCATCTAGGGTTACTCCAGGTTTCAAGCCCAGATAAATAAAGAGGGTTGAGAAAAGGATCAGTAACGGCATCCCGTAGAAAAAACCCTGCTAAAAAACGCTAAACAGAAAAAAACTACTTGAATCATTAAAGCTCTACCCTCCGAGTTGAAAGATCTTCATTTCGAAGAATTATGAAGCCTCATGGTGAAATCCGTGATTCTTTGGAAGCCACAAGGCCGATGCCCTTTCTAACAACCAGAGCAACAATTCATATAGGTACACGGAGAATCCGGACAGTGTAGGAGACTGGGAGGACCAAATAAACAGCTATGCAAATGAGGGAATGGATTGAACTAAGTGGCTATACGTGACACTATATTTCCCCCCGCAAACCCATACAAGAAGCTATGTGTTTCACTCGATCACACTACACAGAACTAAATTGATCATATTTGCATTAACAAAAAATCCAGTAGGTCAATGGAAGACGTGAGAACCAGGACAGAAGCTGACATCACTTCAGATCACCACCTGGTGGTTGCCAAGATGAACTCAAAGGTAGAGAAGCACCGGACAATTAGAGAAACAACATTAAAGAGGTTCAATACAGCCTTCTTCTGAGATACTGACGAACTCGAAGAATTCAAAATAGCTTTCATCAACAGCTTCCAAATCTTACAAGATCTGCTTAGAGAAGAAGAAGCTACTATGGAAAACAACTGGGAAGGTATCAAAGAAGCACTAATTTCAAAATAACATATGCTGAGAGCCACAAGAAACACCTTCATAAAGAATGGATCTTTATCGATATCCTGATCAGTCTTCAAGACAGGAAAAACAAGGAGACAGCAATTAACAACAATTGAAACAAGAGCAGATAGAGCAAAATCACAGGCAACATACGCAGAAAAAAACAATAGAGTGATGGGGAGAATTAGAGCCGACAAGTAGAAATAAGTAGAACACCAAGAAATGACAGTAGAAAAAGATTCAAGAGAGGAACATTCCAGACAAATATATGATAAAACGAAGAAACTGGTAGGGAAATATGGTAAACCAGAAAAATCATTCAGAAACAAAGAGGGCCAATTAGTCGCTGAGATTCAAGAACAGCGGAACAAGCGGGTAGAGCACTTTGAAGAACTCTTAAATAGACCAACCCCGGTGACCCCCCCCAGATATCGAAGCAGCACACAAAAATCTCCCAATACATCACTCTATAAACAGTCGAAACAGACAAATTAACAATTGTAAAGTAGTAGGACCAAACAACGCACCAACTCAAGCACTGGAATCAGACATAGAAGTTACTGCAAATATGCTCTACATCCTATTCAGGAAGATTTAGGAGGAGGAACGAGTCCCAACATACTGGAAAGAAGGACACCTCATCAGGATAACAAAGAAAGGAGATATCAGCAAGTGTGAGAACTACAGAGGAAACAACTGGAAGGGATTGTCGAAGAAAGAGTTCAATGGAGAATCCTGGTGGGTGGCCTATGCTTCTCCAAAAGAGATAAAAGGCGTAAGTTAATTAAAAAATAACATACCGGTTCATATGCAAGTGCTTTGTACATCAACCGAGCTTGTTGAGAATGGGCATATTCTACAATAGCAGTAATGCCTAAAGGTGGTACTAGAACACGTTTTAATCCGGAACAAATTGAAGGAGTGTTAGCATCAACAGTTACAGAGCTTTTTGTATACCGTTTAAGCAAATCTCGAACTTCAAACTCAGTTGTTCCAGCTGGTAGATTTTTTATTAAAAATGCAGTTCCTGATAATTGACGAATAGTTGATCTTGACTTTGATTCTAAACGATTACGTTGACCTGATGTTTCGTGAACAACAACGGAATTATCTTCTGTTTCTTTCACCTCAGTCTCATCATTGTGTTTTTCGAAAGCTTCCAATCGTACACCATGAGTTTTTAAAAATTCTTTCATTTCAGCAACTAACTGTGTCTCACCATGTGCCAATCGTACAGCAACTGACTTATTTCCTGATGGATCTAAAACTTGTTCCTTAAAAGAAGAATAAATAACAAATTCATGTTAGTGCTTGATTTAGAATGACAAGTGTGATCTTTTGTGGAATTAATGTGCACAGAAGTAGGATTACAATATCAGAGTGTGAATATAACAAATATTACATCCCTTGAAAAGTATTAAGAAGCCATGCAAATTTATTAGGTGCTCAGGGATAATTAGCACAGAACGCCGAACCCGCGTTTTGTGCTAGTTCGCACTCTTCATTAAGGCGTTCTTGAAATACTCAATGAACTTATGTTCCATGTGGAGTTCGAATCACGATCACCCAAGTTTTCAGTCGGAAGAGTTACTAGCACCTCGACTGAGATATCTACAGTTGATTGATCGCTGAGTTGTGACCAATGCTACCTTTGTTTAGTCCTTTAGTGCTGATCGAATTCAAGTCATAATGTGATCACCAGTTTAAGTAGCTCAAAATATGCTAAACTGTAGAAAACGAATCATTAACTAATGTATTTTCAACAGAAGTAAAGTATATGTTCGACCTTGAGCGATGTTTTGGTCAATCAAATAGGGAGTTTTTATTTATAAAAGAATTTAAAACAAAAAATGATAAAATTACAAGAGATCACGAGTTTTGACATGAGTAGTCAACTTTTTCATCCAAATAACCACTTACAGTTAAGGAAGAAAAGTTAGGGTGTTCATACCAGACTGACATCAGCTAGGATGAAGGGGTTAAGGTTACAAGTTTGGCTACAAAACATTCCTCCTTTATAACCACATAGATTAACAAAATTTGCACAAATATTCACGATGCAAAATCTTAAACTTTAATGTTTTTTAATGAAGTGATGTCACAGTGAAAATGTTTAGTTTACTTCAAAAATCCTGTATGTTGTGTATTTTAGGTATATTGGTTTGTACTGTTTTTTCTCCTGAAAAACCAGTAAATCTTCCTCTACAGTTCTAAAAATCGAGTAGATCAATTCCTAGTCTTTAATCTTGTTATGTTTGTCAGCTTTCAGCACCTAAATAGCAAAACATTCATACATTTTGTTGAATTGTTACATAGCTCATTACAACTTCAAAGTTGTTAGTAATTGGATTTTGAAATACGCAATAAGATGGAATAATCACTATTCTTAATCTGCCTGACTAGTTTATACACTTTACATTTCTCGTATTTCCTAAAGGACTTTACAATCAGTTTACTTAATTCTGTAATAACTTTTTCAATCAGTGTAGAACAATTAAATAGCTCATTACATTAGTTAAATTTGTTGATTATAACAGTTGAATTTTATGACATTATAAATTTTCTTCATACACTCAAATTGCTTATTAATTAATAGCAAGCGCTACTCCGTATAATTTGTTCAATATGTGACTATTAATAGATCTGAAAAATCGCACAAAAATCAGCGTATTCATAAATAGTTCTCGATCGATTTTTAGTGTCAAATAAATCTTCAGTTATCTTTTCTTTTGTATCCAGCATTGTCAATTCCCCGTTGAATAAATAACAATACCATGAATAAGTGAACGGTTAAGAAGTACTGAAAACTTTAGGCGTATAAGGGTAAATTCAAACTAGCATTCACTAATAAATCGAAAGATTTATACTGAATTTATTGATTGAGAATGGTACTTTGTATTCTGATAATCGCCGTAGAGTTCAGAAATTATTTGAAAGCTATTACTCATCAAAATAAAGCTTTTACCATAGTCAAACCGAATTTCGCAGCTAAATATGTAGCAACAGCATCTGGACGAATAAATAAAGCATTCCAATTATGTCCAACGCTTGAATCCTTTTTCAATTCTTGAAATCGATCGTTTTGAAAGCTTGATAGAAGCATCTTTGGTGTATCAGCGAAATTCTCATTTCTAGAAAAATTGTTTAGAGGCTTTTTAAATGAGTCCTTAGGTTCTGTGTTTTCTTGACCAGGGAGGATGTGAATTAGCCTGTCCTAGATGTAAAAATATAACAATAATTTAAAACACAGTTAACAATACTCCACTGAGACTGACAAACATCGAATAGTGAGATACGTAATTTTAGAATAACTAGTTAGTTAACAATTACATGTTTATCATAATGAAAACTTGTTAAATAATTGTCCTACAAATACACCAGGTAAAAATGAAGTGCAAAGATTAGTGATTATTAAATGGTTAGAGTAAATTTATATTATAGGTCGTAAGCTTAATTCATTATCAGAAGTCTGGTTCTCAAACCACATGAGAAAGTTAAACATACTAAAGTATTATGGTTTCGTACGATTTACAGTGGAAAACCACTACTAAAAAATTCCGTAAGTTTTTTTGACAAAAGATAATGAAAATATTAGTAAATTAATTTCAATAAATTAACCTATCAATATATATATATATAGGTGCTTCCTAGAATCGTGAGATTAGAAAGTTATGTAAACAACGGATGCTCCTACTACTAATTGGATCTATTGGATAACCTAAACGATAATGATTGCACCTGACGTTGGTGATATCGAAGGGTTCCTCAAACATTTTTCTCGGAAACTCAAGATTTGTAGTTCCATATTTGACTTCTCTCTGCATGAGCATTACATTCTTAATTAATTTATTGTGACCTCATCCTGCAATATTCAAAATTAGCTTAAAATACATCGTATGCCGTTCTACTTTTTCCAATGTTTACTGAAACCTAAGTTCAGTGTAGTTGAGTCAGAATCTTACTTTAACAATTTTCCGTTGGGGAATCCATTATAATGGTAGATCTTGGTAGCTAAAGGACAAGTGTTCGTAGTGAATTTCGGAAACAGTAATACTTACAAAAACTACTTGAGAAGCTAAAATGAAGACGATAAACCAACAATGCAATTTTCCAAAACCTGTATGCTTTTAAATGTGATTGTAGGGTTTTAGAAGGAATGCCTGTCAAATGATCCACATGCTACAGGAATCTTAAGACATACCAAACAACACTGTCAGGGTTCGAATTGGCTGGAATATACGTTATGTATACCCAACCACATCATACTTCGACTCGGAATGTTGGATGGACGTTGGTAGGAGACCAAATCACCACGTAATATCAGTCCACGAGATCAACGACTGCCGGAGGATGCAGATACAATCAGGAATTGAGAAAGCCAGGTGATACGGTTTACAACCGATCGCATTGGTAGAGAAGCGTTCACTTCTTATTTCCCCCTTGTATTTTAAGGGGTATATTCTACACATGTCTTCTTTTTGAACATTCTCAATGTTTAGTTCTACTGCCAATTACTGATATTAGTGTCACTCCGAGTCCTATGCTACTTATTCTGATAATTTCACCTCACGTCAATGTAGTATGGCAACTTTAGTCAGTGCATATTTGTAGCAGAGTTTATATTGATAATAAAGACCTGTTTTCAGCTGAGCTGTAGAATTGTACTCAGTAATGTAGTAGGTTTGACATTTTCGAAAACACTACAACGCTAGCAGAATCAGGATGGAAAGCCAAACTGACTAGAACATTTACAGAAAAGATTATTAGTTTGAGAGACGGATAAATGACTGACAAACTTACTACTGAAATAAGAGCTCAAAAAACGAAAACTGACCGACTTATTTAAATTCAATGCCTAAAGCCGAAATACATGAATTCAATGAAGTCTAACGGTCGCACTTTGTTTCAGAAGGTTTAAATATTTCGTAACTAAGCGACATACAACACAGACTGATAAGCAAGACAAGCGTATTTTAACCATAAAATACGTAACTTAGAATGTTAGTGACAAACATGATGGTCTAGATACATTTCTTATTATTAAATATGATTATTTTAGCCAACGATCTGAATAATTGCAAGAGTAGTGTTTTTCAAAATTGTATTTCTTCGGTTAAATTTTCCTGTTGAAATTTATGAACAAGCTATGGCATTTCAGTTATACCTTGGCGACTCGTCAATTTATGCAGTTTTTCGCATCATAAGCCTCTTTTCTTTGTAAATTCAACTAATTTTGACTAATATAGGATTGTCAGTAACACAGTTTCAGATTAAATTAATTTACATATTGTAGTACCTAAATTAACTAGGTAAAGAGACTTACAGTGCTCACAATAACATTCAAATAAAATTAGGATTACAGACCATATATAAATTTGTATAGTATCTTGAGTTACTTGTGGACTCATAAAACATTTAGGATACACTTTATGCTATTAAAAAGTGAAAATCTACTTCTGCGTTGGGTCCTTACAAAAAGTAAGCAACACTGGTTCATATCATAAATTAAATGACGGGAAGCACTTGACATACCATGTATAAATACCTACGTAGTTGTTTTCTTAGATTAACGGCTTAGTAGTAAAATTGTTCGGTTAATGATAAAGACCTGTTCTACTTTGGTTTGGATGGAAGGTTAATACCACTAACCCTCAAACCAACACCGAGTACTCAGAATACACAGATGATATAGTTCTGTTGATGAAATACTGACAAAATGTAGACTTGTGACCACCTTAAGCAACAATCCAACTATGTTTGGGGTGCGGTTATCTTCCTCCAGATGGAAAATGTTACTTCACAATTGGCTTGCGTCATCACCTGAATTAATGATAGATAGTGAAGTAGCTAAACGCATCGTCTCATCAGTACTGATGGTCTGATATCTGACGAAGTCTCGACATGGATTCTGAAGGTTCGATTGGCTTTTGCCAACTTGCGTCACTTATTGTACAGGTGAAATATCTATCTTCCAACCAAAGGGCGACTTTACTGAGCAGCAGTTCACTCCGTCCTACTTTCTGGATGTGAAACATGACCATTAAGAATAGCGGATATTCGTCGGTTACTGATATTCGATCGTAGTTGTCTACAAAGCATTGCTCGTGTATTTTGGAACTACAGAGCGAGTAATGTCTGAGTTGGGAATAGAGTACTAGGTACAAGGATGGGAAGTCGATTGATGAGGTAGTAGGTATTCATCAGCTGAGGTGGTTTGGATATGTGTTACGTATACTCAACCACCACCTATCTTGACAAGTGATGATTTTTCTGATACACGAGTAGGCTGGACGAAAGCTAAGGGCGGCCAAACCAAGACATGGCACCAGTCACTGACAATTGGACTTAGCCATGTTAGTAGGCATAGACTACCCGGTTGAGGTCCGAGTAATTATCGTGACCAATGGTTAGCGATTTTGAACGACATGGCCCGTAATCGTTTGCAGTTGCGCACGCGCAACCATTATTTGTCTTCCCTCGAATTTTGAGGTTTTTAATTCCTTACACCCTCTCTTTGTTTTTTTTGCTCCACGAATTTGTATCTTCTTTTCGAAAAGTATTTTCCATCTTAAACTTTTACTATTACCACTGATACTGTTACTACCTGTACTATACTGGAATTCGGCCTGACAACTTTATCTATCTGTGCTAATGAGGTATAGTAACGTGAACCGATGTACATACGTACCAGGTTCTAAGTTGACTGACATGTATTTACTAGATTGCATTCATTCGAGAGGTCACTCCAAGTTAGAACTTGAATATTTGGCAAACATTGCAGGCCAGTGGTGGCAATTTATGATTTTGGTAAAGCACCAGATATTTTTGACGAACAGAGTTTTATAAACCCATCATATATTTCAATATTCGGGATCTACAAAACTCCAGAGGAAGTTAACTGCAGTGATATATTGTTACCATACATGTGGAAATCGATCGTAAAAGAATCATGATAAGAAGACGAACAACGCTTAAGCATTTTCAAAATTATGTAAAAAGTATAATAAGTATACCTAACTACTCACCATAAACTTTGTTTTATCTAGTGATTTGTAGGCTTTCACAGCATCAGATGGGAACAGGAAAGTGATGAACGCAAACCCCTTGGACACTTGAGACCAATGGTCGAAAGCTAAATGAATGTCTGATAGAGATCCTAGAAATATATGATAATCCGATTCAATAGGGACTAACCATGAACAGAAAATAACTTCTCAAGGTCTTGTTCAGTGCAGGCATAAGACAAGTTACGGACAAATAACCGGCCGGTCTAGAATGCGATAAAAAGTGGCAAAACTTACCTCTAATATTGCAGATACTATTTCGTCGTTTGTCTTAACTAACCACTTAGGTAGATCAGGTTCTTGTACATAAGACGTTTCATTCTCTTCTTGAATGTGTTCCTCAATCTTAACTGCCCTTCCACCTATGTCGCCCTTCTTTTTGAGTGCTTCATTCAAGTCCTGGTGATTCCTAAAAAACACCAAACCGATACCTATTCAAATAAATGTTGAAGAGAAAACACACCATTTTTCAGAACCCTGAAGTCTTTTATCCTCATCGGTTTGAAGAACCGTTTGACATCTTTCTGAAAACTGTTAGATATACCGATCATTTAATTACAATTTTCACTTCACGACTGAAACCTTTTATTTTCGCAATATACGCAACACGCTTCCGAATCATAGTAACGCAATATACAAGCTATGCGCCAGATATACCAATTCTCAAATCTACTTACGTATAAGTCAACAACTATAAGGAGTTAATAATTGAAAATCAGGTTGGATCTGTTTATTTGAGTGAATGATATGAATAATTTCACTTTAGACGGCTCATCTCTACTTGTTTCGGTACGTCACATTTATATGCTATACTACAGACTTAAAGTACGCTACTAACAAGTTACTCTGTTAACTCTTCAAAACTACCACATTACTGAATTGTAAAGTCAGGAACAAAAATGATTCCATGTGTTATCGGACATACTATAACATCCTTTGTTTGCAGTAAGATCAGTCATTTTTTACTAGTCTGAAAAACAGGAGTGATGTATTTCGTGTAGGTGGGCGACATTACTATTTTCATGACTTGCCAAGGTCTGTGAGATTATTCGTGGGTCATAATGCATATGCGGGCCAGTTGTTCATACGTCTTCGTCTTTATGAGCAAGTAGTTTTGCTAAATTCGAATTCTCTGGAGATACACTTGTCTAACAAACCCTGACGGCATAAACCACAAACTTACAGTTTGGATAGAGGAAATTACATAATCAGGGTTTATTAGTGCCTATTTTAAAAATGCCTAGTCTGTAGAAATGTTACTAGCGTTATTATTATACCAGCGATTATGACTTCAGTTGTGATTTTGTAGATCCCCAACCTTGAAGATCTAAGTCGAATGATTGGAGGCCTACTCGAGTTTAACGGGAATGGTATGACGAACCAGTCAACTTCGAGATCAGATCTCGCGGTCAGCACTTAACGTGGAAAACCCCTCCGACGTATCAATGTACTATGGCTGCTTTGAAGAACGTATAACACAAAGGACGTTAATATGGAAATGTACTATTAAGAATGCGTGAAGAGTAGAAGGCTAGATCATCACTGCATGCGACAGCCATGGCATACGATCAACTGATGAATGTTGGCTGTCCTCGACCTTGACGAGAGATCGATGATCTGTTCAATATTCAGCGACCCAACTGCCTGATGATTTGGCTAGAGCTCAGTAACATTTCACCGGACCTACAATTTCTTACATAATTTCCAATAGATTTTTGTTCGTGTCTTGTAATTTGCAAAACGTTCACACGATCTATTCCGGCTCAAATTACAGAATGGAGATATCAATCTAACTACAAAATAAAGCGTTCTACTCTTAAATAGTGTAGATCCTTTGTATTTTATCTCGTAATAAATCACTGACGGGATGTCTGCATCTGAAGTGTCAAGTCATGTGCTTATCCAATGTGGAGCCATTTTCGACAAACGCTCTGTGAGTTAGTGAAGATAATTGGTATAAAATCTTATAAAAATCTTCAGGAATTCAGTACTAGATGCCACAAGTATTCGGAATTGGACAACAACTTAAACAGTAACAACTTTTATAATTGAAATGTGCCAACCCAATGAAATCCATCTTACTCCTTGTATATCTTCTGTTAGAACGAGATGTAATTACATTAAAATCCATGCACGCAAGCAAAAGTATAAAAGTTCTATAATACCTTACCTAGCAAATATACTCTGTGACGAACAGGTTGTTAGAGTTAACCTAATCAATAACCTGCATTCTTAACATGTCTCTAATTTGAAAAGTTGTACAGTTTTTCAGATTTTTTAGACCCTTTTTTTTCTTTGTTTCTGTTTTTGCGTATGAAACTTGTTGAAATACCCTGTGCTGAGAATTCTATATTGTAACAAAATATAATCTTGAATAAATCCATTAAATAAATGAAAAATTAAAAAAACGCCTATCAAGTAATGTGAAGGACGGTTGAGTTACTATATTAGCTTTCTATTGTTTGACTAAAAGTTTCATATTATTACTCACGAACATCTTTTAGGAGGTTCACTGGCAGTCTCTTCTACATGGTTGAGTAGCGAATAACGGAAACATTCTAGCATGGGCTTGTGTGGGTTCTTGGAATCGCTAGAATAGTTTCCTTATTGCGTAGATTGTGGTATGATATCATAGAGTATGAGGGGGTGGAAATCGAAGAGTAGGAAATATCTTTAATAAGCCGGTAGATAAATAAAAGGTTTAATTTGATACGTCAGATTCAGAGAGGTTCTAATTTGAGTTTTTGACATCTTTGGTGATAGTCCTTGTTGTCGGAATACCCCAAAACAGCTTTAGTGAACCTTCTTTGAACACCTTCAGTTTTATTCTGGTCATTATGCCTGCAAATGCTGTAAACTAAAATACCGTATTCGAAAATGGGTAAGATACATTTTCTGCATAATAATAACTTCGATTCGATATTATTGAAGTTTATCATTATGAATCCGATGAGCTTTCTAGCTCTGGATACTTGAGATGCAATGTGCTCAGAAAAGTTCAGACTGTTGCTATATCTTAAACCCAAGTCACGAACAGTGTTGAGAGGTTTCAGTGTATGTTTGTGTACAGTCAGATTTAAGTTAAGGCAGCGGCCAATGTGAATAAATCCACCTTTGTCAACATTAAGTGACGAATTCCACGAAGCATTCCATTCGTACAACTTGTTTATTTCTTCTTGGATTACCGCTGAAATAAAGCTTTCATTGGTGGGACAAGAGAATGAATAAACTACTTTTGGATCATCGGCAAAAATGAAATGTATATAATAGTGAAAGATGGAACACATGTCATTGGTAAGAAGGAGAAAGATTAATAGACCAATCACACTTCCTTGTAGAACCCCACTGGTTACATTCACATGCCAAGAGTAGCAAAATCCAAAGCGAACGATTTGGTTACGTTCTAAAAAAGATTTGAGACAAGATGAAAGGGGATTCTGTATACCAAATGAAGAGAGTTTTGGAAGAAGAAGTTTGTATGAGACACTGTCGAAAGCCTTACTAAAATCGAAGTAAAGAATTATCACTGACTGACCAACATCACTTCTCTGGGTAATTTGATCAAAACATTCCAGATGCGACGTGAAACATGAGCGTTTAGTCATAAAACCGTGTTGGGATGGGCTAATCAGACTAACCGAGAGTAAAAATGATAATAGCTGTTTGAGATGATTATTTCCATGGTTCTTGAGAGCACGGATGTAAAACTAATTGGCCTATGGTTAACAGTATCACCACGTGATCCCGTTTTAAATCTAGGGGTGATAAGAGATGTTTTCCAAACAGATGGATAGGCCCTATATTCTATAGATAGGGTGAACAGTTTAAAAAAAATACTACCACATCTCATAAATGATGGTAGAATCCCGTCACATCCACCATCACAAGACTTTTTCAGGGTAGCTATAGCCTGCTTTATGTTGGTGGATATGAAATCAATTTTGGATCGATGTCTAGATGTCAACATTGAAAATGGATTGATAGAGGTTTCAGTTTCAGTGTCGTAGCATTAAGAGAAATGCTGGCTTAATTGTTCACAAATATTATCAGGGTCGTCAATAATGCTCCCCTTAACTATGAAGAATTTAGTCGTGCCAAAAACTTCTATTTCATACGGGATTTAAAAAGACAGAGTATTGGTAGCTCTGGGATTTTACTACCTAGGATTTTATTTTCCATATTCATTAGATGCTTGCGTTTAAATGAAACATTTCCTTCCATCAAGTTACGTATACTCTGAATTGCATACACGTCACGATGCTTGTGGTACATGTGTTTCAATTATCTCAGCTTTCTCTTAAAGCTTTTAAAAGTATTCTGACCCCTATTAGCTCTATAAGCTACATTGACAACAACTGGAGCAGTGTAGTCAAGGCAATATATCAAAATGTGGTATAGATTGGAAAGCAAAATGTCAACATTATTTGTGGTTAAATAAGTTTCCCATGGTAAACACTGAATGAGAGTTTCAGTCCGTTTCCAGGTTTGTTGATCAAAATGTCCACTCTGGTACACTATTGAAGCTTTATAGTTCAATTGTATAGTTTCTAAAGGATGAATAACACTCAATACAACTCATGACTGATGTGCATTGAGATAGAGTCTATGTCGATTGTAAATAATAAATCAAGTATATTATTCCTCCTAGTCGGTTTTAGGACATGCTGGACTCATCACCTCCAATGATTTTAAACGTATGCGGTCGTTGAGAAGCAATGAAAAATATGTTTGTTAATAATCTATCAAAATTATTACCCTCATGAGGTTGTCTGTATGTGCACCCCACCAGTAGACAGTTTTGCGGTCAATAGTTTACGGCAACCCAAGTAAAGTCGTCTATATCATCAAAAGTTTTATCCTCAAATTTACACGACTGAATGTTCAAACGGACATAGATAACTGTACTGCCTCTTATTCCATGGCATCTACTGTTTCGAATGAAGACGTAGTTATCTACATCCAAGGAGTGATCGGACATGGATGATTTACACCGCATTTTCGTAATAAGCACAATTGTTGGATTCACTAGGAATAAAAGGGCTTCAATATGAGTAATTTTTTAGGATGAGATCGGGCATTGATCAAAAAAATAAGAAACTGAGAGGTGTTATGGTGAGGCAGGTTAGAGTATAGATCATAATTGGTAGTTCCACAAATACTCGTAGGTAAGAGTTGTGTCGCGAGGTGAAGAATAGTCAACAACTGCCATCATTTGTATCACATTTACCGTTGCCGGCAGAAAAGCTGTTGGAATTACAAAAAAGTCTTCTCATTGTTATTAAATATAACATCTGAAGGAGGTATGGTGTACATATTGGTAGCTGGGCCAAGAAAGCTATCAGGTCTATGTGTGACCAAGTTGCCATTTACAATTTCGGTTACTTTTTATACTTGACGTATGGGTAACACGTTCCAGACGTTTACTTCCAAGGTTTGTGGTTTCCTTTATCTCCTTCGTAATTTGTGGAGAATCGAGAGTTGTTAAACATACACGAGGTGGATTGCAAGGTTCGAATATATCGACGTTAACTGAGTGGTCAGCAACATAAATTTCATGACTAGTTTTCCCGTTATCCGTTGTGCAGTCACTGTAACTAAATGTTGCACTGACAGGAATTCGGACTGTGTTATTCCATTCGTCATCAGCACAACTACTTGGGGTTAAGATCTAAG